TTAGCCTTGGGGAGGCAATAATTACTCTTGGCGTAAGCGGATTGCGATCCGCTAATTTTTACTTGGTTCTTGTAAAGAACGAAAGTTGTTACGCTTCCTCAAGCGCTAAGCTACGGCAGCCCCGCTGCATGAGGTGTCAGAAGCGCTCGCGAAGTGACTTTAGAGCGCTTTTGCTCCTGCAAAAAAAGATCCGAATACATTGGGTCGCCAGGGCTTCGCCTTGAGGCGGCAGCACGTGCTTCAAAATCCTGATTTGATTGAGTTTGCCAAAGTCATTGCGACATTCGCGATTTGAACGCGTAGTCTGGGCTCGTTTATTTAGGTCTAGGCCGTCATCAATGAGCTGTGCGCTGCATGACTTTTGTGGCTGGGTCTCATGACATCTATTGCCTAAGCCAACAGAAACGGAGCGCGCAATTCGTACAAAGAATATGCGGATTATCGATAAAGATTATATGGCTTTGATGTATGCCTTTCAGTGAAGGCGTAAGTGTCTTGTTAGGAAAGAATACGTATCTGTTGCTGTGCATTTAGCGCCAAAATCGAGGAATTGCCCCAATGCGCAAGCTCCCCATTGTGCTCAGTTCACAATGCAAACACCAATTCGCAGCACCTACATTTTAAAATTGCCGTTAGCTTCAGCAAAATTTACCCACAAATGTCCAGCATTCCAATAGGACAATATCTTTCTCATTTAGATTGTCCATCCCTTTGGTATTAGGCTGTATCTGCAAGTCAGGAACTCCAAGGTTTCGAGACAAAAAGCTTTTAATATGCAAAATTGATCTGCTATCACAACTATTTCTGGTTTTCACGAGGTCCGCGAATAGGTGGATAATACTATGCTTTGACCGCAAAAACTTCGATCAGTCCTTTCTCTTCATTTTTTCCTTTCAATCTTTTTACCATCTTCCAGCCTCCTTTAACGTTTTGCGTCTACATTCAAGATTAATCTTACCGATCTGCTGTATTTACCAGCTTATCCATCGCCTTTTTCAACGTATCTCTTCATTGCATTCGTCCAATGCACTCACATTCTTGCTGGCCCCTCCGTGTGCTGACAAGTCTCAACATAGATCCCCACTTCTGTATGCTTCTAAATTTCTTGCAAGCACACTACGCAATTGAGGTCCAACATGAGCTCTCCTTATCAAAAATTTGTCCGCTCAGAAGTAGGTGGAGAAGCCGCATGCACAAATTTGTCGTCGAACAGAGCAAATTTGGGTGTGGGGGTTAAGTGTTGTTATACCCATTATCAACTAGCTAAAAACTCGTGAGATGCCAAATTTACTAAGCTTGGATGTGGCCTGACTTCAATTAGCCGTTTAAGTGCTCGTGCATTCCGCACAACTCGGTCATTCACAACCTTGCGGACACAAGCTGGGAGGCTGAGGTTCTCATTGGAATTTGTTAAGTCCACATGCATGCTTTCGTCTTCGTTGCTTTCGTTCATATCAGTCGATGTACAAGCAAACAGCTTACTCTCGATATGCTGAAACCAACTTGCTGTTCCGTTTCCTGCAACAAACACGTTTTGTGGATCGTAGTCTAAAAGCATTTTCAGAAGCTGCTTGGTCGCAGTGCAAAATTCATGATACTCAACAGCACCGCAGACACCGTTTACAATTAATGCTTTTGAAATTGCTGACGTTGGATCTTGACAATCCCATTTTTCATCTTGGTGGAAGTATCTCGCAAGAGCTTGCATTGCAATTGGACCTACGTCAAAGGCACGAAAAGTCCAATCGTACAAAGCTGCCGTGTTGTTCCGCGACTCCACATCATCACCTTCTGAGTCAGAACAGCACGAAGTCAAAATGCTCGACTTTCCGTTTACAACTTTTACATCGGCAAAGCATGATGTTGTTACATCTTGAAATGTTTGCCAACCAATGTCTGATAAAGCTTCATCTCTCAAGGAGGCATGGCCAAGAACAACATGTGCTCGCTCACCATCAAAAACGTACTGACGTTTTTGCTCGAAAATGTCGAGGTGGTCCGGCTCAATTTTTTGAGACATCCTTTGTCGTAGTCGATCTTCCCATTGTGATGCTTCCTCTTCTTCTTCCGCCTCGTCATTTTCGATATCATGACTTTTGTCCTGCTCTTCGAGGTAAGTCTCTCCAACAATCCAATCGATAGGAAGCATTAAACGAACGCATTTGCGGTTTGCTTTTTTCTGAATTTTTTCGACTGCTGGTACAAGAAGATTCCATAATGAGCAGGCTTTACCGGTTCGAGTCTCGAATGGGGCCTTTTCAGATTCTTTCTCGAGACTCGTTTCGCTTAGGAGTTTGTTTTGTTCTTCTACTTTCTCATCTTCTTCGCCATCCTTCATGCCATCAACATCACATGTGGCTGAGATTTTCATTTCCTTCAAATGCAAAACTCTGTAAAGGCTCATTGCGACTTCACCGACAAAGTAAATTTCTTGGACAAACTCTAGGAGGCCATCAATCAGTCGTAATTTTGTCTCTAAAGACTTACCGCCAACTACAGCGGTGTGCATGCGAAATATCTTGTTGATCGCAATATCGGGGTCCGTCGGTTGGAGCGTCTGGTGCCATCTTTCAATTTCTTGACAAAGCGTTGGCCCTGCGAATATTCGCGGAGTAGTTTGAGTGTCATTTTGCCTAGCTGTGAACGCGAAGGCACTCTCATACATTATAGATGGAAGACAATCCATCACACAAACACTTCCAATGCGCATGAATTCGTTTCGAAGGGCTTCCAAACCCTGCTTCTTGATATTCTCTCCAGCACTCTCAGGGTTTAGAAGATCACAAATAGATGGAGTAGAAGCGATAGCCGGATTTACAGACGCAGGAGCTGAGGGTGTCGCTATCTTTCCCTTAAGAGTGACAGCGTCTGAGCGTTTATTCCCGCCCACTACGTGCTTTTGAGTTTTAGTGGGTGTAAGTGTTGTTGGATTTTTGACGAGTTCGTCTTCTTTTTGAGATGCTGGGATGACCATTTTAATACCAGCTGCCTCAAGATGTTCAAGCAGAAGGATTCTTGGAGTCTCTTTTGCTCTCTGGGCAACTCCATCGACTTTGATTATCCCGCCCAAAAGCTCGTCATCAATGGGTACAGTCACTGACTCTAACACGTGGTTTTGACATTGGTGCAGCAGTTCATCGACAGAGGCGCAAAACGTGACAACTTTTCCAGTAGTACGCTGCAAAATAGGAGCAACGTCTCGAAGCGAGAGCCTTAGCAATAAACGATCAAGAATACAAGCCATATCTGCCTTTGTAACTTGTTCGTCTTGATTCGTTAAAAGTTGTATGCTGTTTGTTTCGATTTTTTGAGCTTGTCGCAGCTCTTTTGCTTTTACGCCTGCTTGGGAGACACGACAGAGCAAATTGTACGTATGCCTTGTCAACGGCGGACGGTTTAATTCGCTTACTAGCACTACAGTGTGAGCATTTGGGTAGCCACTTGACAGAGTGTTTAACACGTTTTGAATTGCATCAGCTGCTTCACGAACTTTTGCTGGTACGAAAGTTTCTTGCTGAACCAGGGCAGGCGAGAGTTGCCACGACAGACTCAATGGTCCATCTGCAGAAGCAACAGCCTCTTCAGCTTCCGTAATTATCAACGAGTACCACGCAGCTAGATCTAAATCAACTTGCATTATAATTACTCCAGAATGATCTACAGCCGTTGGCTCCAGAGCTTGTCTGGGATCTTCACTGCCCGCGGCAGCTGTTGTTGAACCAGCAGCTTTATTCAGACCGATAGATGAGTATGACGCTTTGTCCTTTAACCACATTTTTTGGACCCGTCGTCGCTCAATCTCAATCAAGACCTGATGGTCCAAATTATCTCCAATAGCCTCATCAAGTCCGCGCACTAATAATTTCCCCACTCCCTCGACTTTGGCTGCATATAAGGAAGCCTCGTCTCCAGGGTTCATCATTTTAGCAATTTCACATACCACCGGCAATTCACTGCACAAGCTTGCTATTCTTTCCCGCAATCTTTGATGTAATCTTGTATTCTGGTAAGGTGTTGTACAGGCTGAATATCGCAGCATCTCAAATGTTATCTGGAGGTCGGGCTTGTAAGCACTTATCTCGTCTTCTAAAGCTTGACGACGAGCAAATTTTTCAGCTCGACGCACCTCGTATGGTGTTCGCTTCTCATCGATCAACCCACCATTTTTATGGTCTTTTTCTTTCGAATCTTCCAATTCCTGGTCTGCCTTATTTGTTGCTTCCTCATCTTCCCCATCATCTTCATCATCGTCATCCTCATCAAGATCGTCAAATTCGTTTTCCAACCGGTGCTTCAAGTAGCTAAGGTGTCGGTGCTGAGTTTCATCGGCCATTACGCAAAGCTGAGCAAGTTCTTTAAGACACCAATTCCATTCTTGGGCATGGGGCGTTTGAGGGTACGCATTAGGGGCACATTCTATTTGCAAGGTAGCTTCAGTGATGGCCCTTTCTGCACTGCTCGGTTGTTCTAAAGCGGTAATCAAAGCTGATTTCTCGACATTGATTGTTATGTCGTCGGCTGCATTCTGGTTTGTGCTGTCACTGTTGACGATCGTTACTTGTTTTGATGGTATAAGAGCGCTCACAATAGCTTGTGCTCGTTCATACAGTGCGCGGCAGTCACGTACGAAAGCCGGGCTATAATACACGTCACCGAATTCATGAGAGCCATTTTTATCATAGAATTCTTTCATATCATCGCGCGGCATCATATCATGAAAGTCCATAGGCTTCGGTAATCGCACACATTCCAATATTTCATCTACAAGAGACGCTACGATAACACGACCTTCTAGCTGCTGTATACGCGTTAGCTGTATTGCTCGTTGTCTTCGCGCGGAAAATTTGTCAATTGCAACGCAACTCAAATGCACTTCTACCGGCTCGGATAAATCCGTTACTGGATCAATGGATCTGGGACGGAAACGGATTTGTGGCTGAGGATCCACATCAAGAAGCCACTTTGCAAGGTACATACCAGCTTGTAATGAGTTAAAGGTGAACACAAATAACTGCGTGTCTCCCGGTAGTAGTGTGCCACCGTGCTTTGACACCGAAATTGTAATCAGCTGCTCAAACTCTTGTTCTTCTCGACGTGTACGCTGTCCGCGTAAATGAGACATTAATTCATCCGTCTCATCTTTAAAAGGAACTCGCCACCATTGGTAGTGAACGATTGTGTTTCCATCGTTATATATCTTTAGCGAGCGTTGGTCTTGCTCCCCCACAGGAGTAAAGAAGCTTAGACGAAGTGGCAAATGACGACCTTCGAAACTATCCCCGTTACTCTTCATAACGTAATCGCCGGCGTCGTCATCAGAAGCATATGTAATGCGTAGACTCGGACCGTCAAACTCGTTGTTGTCAGACTCAGTCTCATTTATCACGTCGGAAGAGCTCGCATTTGCACGAGAATGTAATTGGTGCTGTTGTGAAGCTATTTGCTCCTCCTTGTTTGATAATGAATAGTCAAATTCGTCGTCATCACCATCAACACCAGATCCAGACGCCCAAGCGAACAGTTCCATTGTTTCAACTGCAAGATTGCTATCAGCACTACTCTGTACCTCATGTGGGAGTAGCAACTCAAGTTGCTTTCGTAGACGCCATTTTTTTTTAGCTAAAAGCTCGAGCGATCGTTTCTCAAGCTTCGACAGCAGTCGAGACTCGTCATGCTCGCTAGTATCACTATTGTAATAATTGTCTAGTGGCCGTCGAACACTGGGACCAAGTTTCGAATTCTCGCGAATTGGACAATAAAGACCACTGAAGATATTACCTACTGGCACAAATCGAGTTCCTTCGTCTCTTAAGCTTACGAGCCAGAGATCCGCACCTACTTTGTCACGTAATGGTCGGGCCTTCTGCAAAGCATCATACATTTCACGCTGCTCTCGATAAGCAGACGCTCGACTAATGACAAGCTCTTGTGGGTTCTTGTTTAAACGTCGCGCTGCTTTCTTCTTAAAAGTCTCCCACTCGTTATTTATCTGCCGCCACTTGCGCAGAGCATTTTGTTGACGTTGTTGATTAACTCTTTCATTGATTGGTAGTGATTGCAGCCATTTCCGATGTGCCACCGTTTCTTCTCGCCGCTTTTGGACTACATTGTCGATCTCATCAACATTTCTAGTGCCCGAATCTTCAGTCGCTTCGCATTCTCGTTCCAATTGCATTCGACGCATTGTCTGCTGCTTCGTCGATAACATTTTCTGATCTGATGATGCTGCAGCTGCACGTAACTCGGATGCACTTAGGTGGCCACGCTGTTGCGCCAAGAACTGATCAAACCGCTCTACATCTTGAGCGCCTCCAAGTGCTGCGTACGAAGTCAATTTTCCCGATCGGGGATCACGTGAATGGGACTGGTTCACAGCTGCATTTTGTCCTGCTATCCCTTCGGTCTCTTCTTCGTGTATGGCTCTTGCAACATAGATTGTTCTAGTTTTGCGACTGTCTGGTGAGCTTGTAGTGTCGGTCAAGAACTCATGTGTCGACTTAGACGCAAACTCGTTCATGGTATCAACGTACACCTAGAGTCAACAATCGCTTAAATCGTCAGGAGGCGTCGGGTGACAAAAGTCGCCGATCTTTTGCGATTACTTGTCCGTTGCAACTAAACGCTTGCTGCTGTATCAGGATCAAACTAACCACTTGTGGCTGACGGGATACGATAAATTACGAAGCTAATTTATGCTCCAAACGGGTACAACACGGACATCTACCTAAACGCTCGCCTTTCCATTGCGCGACGGACAAGATTTAGTGGCGATATTGCAGTGACTATCTGCTGCCGTGAGCAGATTATAGACACAACGCTGCTACAAATTGATAATGCACATACATCGTTCAATATATGATCGAAGTCGGCTCTTCATCACGACTGCGCAAATACATTAACTTTATATTGCTTTTTCTTACCCCTCCAACGTCTGTCCTCTCATAAATGGGGTATTTTAGTCTAGCGGCTACACTTCTCTCCATACATCTGTGCATGCGGGTTTTAACTACTCGCAACAATTCTCCGTCAAGGCATCATGCTTTAAAAGGCTTGAACCCGCAAAGCGAACAGTGACGCGTCGACTTAAATCATCATTATAAAAGCTGCATACTTAGCAAATAAAAAGCCGTTTTCCATCAGCCGCGAACCATTTCGAAATTCTACCAAGTTATTATCTCTGGTAATATAGCAGACACTTGTTGCTTGTAGTTTGAAAAGAATTGCTTAGAAAAGCGGGTCGTCTTTCATCGGGGCACTGCCACCTTTGAGTGACTCAGGGGCAGAAAATAATTGGTCCACCTGAGAAAGATCGAAACTATCAAGTGCCTCTCCATCCGGATTCACAGCTGGGAATACTCCAGTCGCGTCGTCCCTCTTCTCGACGCCAAAAACTGGTGGATTCATGACGCTAACGGCGTGCAGCTCGTCGGTTATGGCCTCAATCTCTACGACCTCGGAAGCATTAAGAGCCACGAGCGAACCTTCTGCCACACTTTGAAACTGCCTTGGACCCTCACTAATGTCCAGCAGCCGCACACGACCATTGCCGCGCGTCACTAACAGGGCGTACACGTGATTTTGAAACTCAAGGCGCACAGGGGTCCCCTTTTGGATCACTTCGTGCTGAACGGAAAATCCACATTCATCATTACGAACTAGATAACGACTTCAACACGGCAATAATGAGAGTGATTGTTAATTTTGGTCAATAGTCCGCATTCAAATGCATTTTTACCGCGTTTCCAAAGCGCCGTCATTGCTACTGATGACACGATTGTCGCGACGAACGTCGTCTAGCGAGCGTAACAGAAAGGATTTAGGTGCCGAAGTGTGCAAAAAGCGCGTGAGAGACTTCGAGACTTTCGTTGGCATCATTATGTTAGCAAGACTTAAAATGGGGGCCTCAGTTCATATCTTCAAGCTTTATCGAACTTAAGCGAAAACCAAACTCCCTCGTCTTTCCACATTGAGGTGTATTTCCGTTATTTCGTGTTCTCTCCAGAATTGCGTTCAGACGAGGACGACGAAGATGACTTGGGACCATGACAGCGTGTGCAAAGACCACGAGACGTCTGCTGCACGCGTGCATGGCCGTCAACTTGTGTGCTTTCGCCCAAAGTGTCGATTTCGGCTTACTAAAGCAACATTAAAGGCACAAGAAGACGATGTAGAGATGGCGTGCCACTGCGAGCGCCAAGTGCTGCAGTGCTTCGTGGGCCTACATCAGCATACTGACAATGAGATGGATATGGCTGAAGCATCATATCGGCAGCGTATTCGAAAGTGGAATGAGCGGTTTGCCGCCCGTGATTGGGCGCAAGAGCGGGTGTGTCAGAAATGGAAGGAGAATCAAAAGCGCTTTACGAAGCAGCAAGAAAACGTGCAAAAAGACGACACGATCAGCAGCAAATCACTGACTACAACAGCCAAAATGGCGCTTTCTACATTTGCCTCAGCAGCTGAAGAATTGCTACACTCGCGTCAGTTTAACGTTTTGTTGAAGGCTGGAGTGTCTCCGCAGCTTCGTGGACAGGTCTGGTGGATGTGTAGCGGTGCAGCAGAGCTCCGACGTGAAGCGAAAGAATCGTATCCAGCTTTGTTGCATCGATTACATACACTGAGCAAATGTGCAGAAATGGACATTGAAAAGGACTTGCCCAGAACCTTTCCTCTTGCGCTTCGCGAGTCAATGCGGCAATCACAAGAGTTCTCAGACGAAGACAGCTTTGGTGAACTCCGTCGGGTTTTGCAGGCTTATTCTCTTCGAAATCCGACGGTGGGATACTGTCAAAGCATGAACTTTTTAGCTGCAGTGTTGTTGCAACATATGGGAGAGGAAGAAGTCTTTTGGGTTCTGGCAGCTATCGTTGAGGAGCTGACACCCCTGTATCACACACGAACAATGACAGGCAGCCGTGCAGACCAGCGCGTTTTCTCGGATCTGGTCACTCAAAAACTGCCTGTTCTAGCGAATCATTTGCAAATGTTGGGCGTTGACTTTGAGCCATTTACACTCAAGTGGTTCCTATGCCTTTTTTTAAACACACTACCTTTCGAGCCTGTTATGCGAATTTGGGATCTTTTCTTCTGTGAGGGCAGTCATGTTTTATTGCGAGTGGGACTTGTGCTATTAAAACTAAATCAGCCTCGCATCATGGCGTGTGACGATGCTCTTGACGTGTACGAAATGTTTAAAGTATCGCATAAAACGTTGCAGGAACTGACGGCTCCGTACCGATCTGGCCTGCTTAATCGTGACGAATGTGTATGTGATACGCTGGTTCGGCTTGCAATGGACAAATCTTTTCTAGGAACGATTCCATTTGATACGCTACACGAGTTGCGTCAGTTCTATCGATGCGAGATTGAAGCAGAAATTCAACAAGCTGAAGCGCGATGCCTGGAACATCAATGCAGTACTAGTGCCCAACCGGCAAATTCCTTAAATTGCTCCCGCACGTATCACGAAGATCGTGCATTGATGCTAGAGTATGACTTTCTGGATGACTACGCTTGTAGCTCTGGCGCGGAGGTGTCTCCTTCATTGAAGATTCGTTTTATGGATTTGTATGACAGCGATGACTCCAGCGCTGACTACTTCGTTGACGTTATGTACGACATTTCTCTTCAACACTGTCGCTAAGTATTTGTACTAGCGCCAATCAGTCGAGAGGTTTGTCACTTTATTTGAACAAATTCAAAATATGAAAATGCTGCTAAAAACTGAGGCAGAAACAATTTTTTTTATATTCGCTACTGCCCAAATCGACAAATTTCAATTTAGGTTCTCTATTTAGTGCCGAAATGATACACCTATCTGCAAGCGTGCAGTCGCCACTCCGCTCGAAATATTCTGTCGTGCTCGCCCAGCTAATGCGACAACATAAAATGTCATCTACAATCTCGGATTTATCACGGCATAAAGAAAGTCTATCGCTTTTGAGTACGCAGTTGCATCGCGAGCGTCATAATGCTCTCCTTCGACCCGAAGAATCTCCGTCGGACCGGAGTATTTGACAGCAAGGTCGTTGCTTTGTTCTTTAGACACATATCTATCACTGTTTGCAGCTACGAAAAGTGCAGGAGCATAACATAGCTCGACAAAGTCACCGGGACTGAGTAGCTCAAGGTCTACCTCGGTGCGTTTCTTGACACTCTTATTGATTGCAGCCACTGCTACTTTAGTTACTGCCTTTGGCACAGAAAACCCTTCCATCTGCATTTCGCGCAACAAACCTTCATTTACCTCTCGCACAGAGGCGTAAGCGCTGTCCAATACAATAGCTCGAATCGGTTTGTGTAGCCTTTGTCCAGTTCGCATGACATGCGGCAGCGTATTTAATCTGGCCTGCATCTTCTTGTCTGCCGCCCCTGCTGCACGAATGGCCACATTGGTAACTGCAGGAAATACTCCCATACTGTGCGCGTACAGACAAATGTCCGAGACAGACTCATCGTTTTCAAGAGTTTGTAATACTGAAAACAAATCCAGCGCTTCGTTCCAGCCCATTGTCACATAGACGCCATCCGACAGCCCCGAACCGCAGCAGTCAAAGGCCAACACTGAAAAACCGCGCTTTAGTGCCAGATCGCGCACGCGCAGAGCATCTAGTCGTGATCCAATGTTGGAGTGTAGATAAATTAAGCAGGGTGTTTTAGCAGGAGTGATGCTATCTTTTAGAAAAAGCTGCCAGTGCGAGCAGCAAACGCGCAGACCGCGTTCATTATACACATCAAAGTCTTTGCGTCTAGCCTGCGTCTCATCGTCTTCTGTTGAATCCACAGATAGTCCTGCAATCTGAAAGCACTCCGGTCCCAGCTCGCTCAGGTCGTAGAGCGCACGTTTTGGGCGAATCACCGCTTTGACTACATCATGGTACCCATTTCCTAGCAGTTCTTTCACGCTAGCATCACCTGTACCGCCAAGACGCTTCAGCTCTGCTTCCATCTCGCCGTCAGCAAAAATTTGCATCTCACTGGAGACGCCGTTGCCCATGAATAACGATGACGTGGAGAAGAAGCGGCAGAAGTCAAGAATGTTTGACCTGACATCATGAACTGGGTCTTCAGGATAACATTGGCTGAAAAACCCTCTTTTTATTTCTCAAACATTAAATACCTTTTCCGTCACCGCATATAAATGTATCAGCGAGTTGATTAAGTTTAGACTGGGTAGGTGAGTATCTTTTTGTAAGTACGCCAGCGGTGCATGAGAGCTAACATGGGCACCGCATTATCTGATTTTGCAAGCAAGACGTTTAGCTACCCAAATGTACTTGCTCGACAGAGTCAAGACGAACGAGAACAAAAAGTTGAACGGTAGTCAGTAAAGCACTTACCTTATAAGATCATTTGATTAGTCAGCCTCTGAATTCGCACAAAGAGATCGGGTACTGAAGTCACCTGTGCAAGACAATGTCACAAGAAAGCCTAGCAGAAGTATCAGGAATGGTGATGTACGGCTATTTTAATTTCGACGTTAAGCATAATGCGAAGAACAATATGTTGGTTTGTGATCTGCGTCTATTACATGTAGTGGACTTTGCCCGCTGTTGCCTGATACCTGAATGGTACGATAAGTTTACTCACCTATAACATGCTAACCACGAGTACAATTGCTGTACTGAGCTGTTGCATAAAATTTTTAGTATTACAATTGTTTGATTTTACATACTACAGCTGAGACACCCTTTATAAGGAGTATACTTACCACGAAGAGACGCACTCAAAGATTGGCTAAATCTTACATCTTTAGCCGGGCTGATTGGCTAAAACGGTATAGAGTCGCCGATCTGACTATTGTGGTACAATGGCGTCATGCCCTTCTTGTCGAGCCAGAGCATCCCCAAGTCAACGATCGAACTCACAGTGTAGCTGTCATCTTCCTGAAAATTCGTCTACATTAACGACACGTGCTGTAGCCAGCTCCGGTATCAGTCGTCGTAATATTCCCAAAGACCGATCCAAGAAGAAGAAAGCCAAAGATAAAGAACGCATCAAGTCCAATGAACCCGGTTCGGAGAAGAAGAATGCTGACGTTCCATCCGCTGCTGCTGGCGATGAAGCTGCTGGTATTTACAAGCGAATGATTGCAGCTGTTCGAGGTGCTAATAAAGACCACGATGAGGTCGTTTTGGCCTTTAAAGCGGACTGCAAACAGTTTGGTCAAGGGGAATTACGTGCTCGGATCTTCTATGAGCGACTTGGTATATACTTTGGCAGTGAACTAATGCTAGATCACATGCTGCCACAACTTGCGCGACTCATTCCTGATGACCAGAAGAGAAAGAAACTTGTCAAAGTGCATTTTAAGAGCAAACGAGGTGGAGACATGATGCCTGGATGCTCTACCGTTGGTACCAGATCCTCTTCCAGACGACCGGCATCAAGCACAATTGCGGCTAAAAGCTCCGTAATTTCGACTCAATTGAGAACGTCAGGGGAAAGGCGACCGTTATCAGCTTCGGAACTCATTCGACGAGATAGTATCGACAGTGATACCTCAAGTAATACGAGTGGAGAGTTGATTTCTGCAACTTCTACTGGACGAACATCTCGGCTAACACTAAGTCGATATACCGACAATTTTAAGTGTGCTATTTGCAATGAATCTTTTGATATCAAGCGACATCGACATCATTGTCGCAAATGTGGTGCTGCTGTTTGTCACTTGTGCTCACCTGCGAGAATGTTGATATCGCCCGATCAAGTGGCGAACGAAAGCATGACAAAAAAGTTTGATCCCGCGCTCCCTCAGCGAGTCTGTACGATCTGCGCACCGATTCTTCAGTATTTCCAAGATGGACTTATTTCCCAATATGCCAACTGTCATAAAGAAAACCCACACAAAGCCAAAACACGATTGCATTTGCCATATAGTCGATCGTTAGAAAGTGCATGTCGCTCGGCTGCCGACATTCTTGGCAACTTTTTTCGACCGGATCTTGGTGCTGACAGCGATCGATACATTCCTGTCAACTTTCTCAAGCGAGCACACGGCATTGCGTTTCTCACGGTTATTAAGGCAGGATTATTAATTACAGCCAAGATGGGCACGGGTATTGTGATTGCTAAACTCGGAGATGGCTCCTGGTCGGCACCGTCCGCAATAGGTACCGCGGGGATTGGTGGTGGACTTGAGGGTGGAGGGGAATTGATAGAGTTTATGATCATCATGGGATCAAAAAAGGCAGTCAAAGTATTTTACCGAACACAAGTGAATGTCGGCGGTGGATTCAGTGTAGCAGTAGGGCCTTATGGACGCGATGCAGTCGCACAGGCTGCTGCTAGTCGGGATGTGGTTGATACAAACTACAGCTACTCTTATAGTCGAGGGCTTTTTGCAGGCATTTCGTTACATGGCGCAGTGATTACTACGAGGACAGAAATGAATAGCAAATTTTACGGTCAGAACTTGACCCCGAAAGAGATTTTGAATGGAACTGTGCCACCTCCACGCGCTGCTCAATGCTTGTATGATGCTATCGAGCAAGTCAAGATGAATATAGCACAGTTTGAAGCATCCCGAGGGTCTCAGCGACGGTCTCCAGCAACGTTAGACACGCAAGGACCGTGTGGATCATGTCGATGCCACAAATTTGTGGCGAAAGCAGCTTCGAAGAGATGCAAGTTGTGCGCACATGTTCATAGTGCCACTTAGAGTGTGTCTGCGTGTGTAAATAATAGAATAACAACGCGATAAGATAGCGTACTACATGGCTTTTCATCAAAAAGCTGTTGAATGACAGGATAAGCTGTTTGGATATCTTGTAAAGCTTATATATTTTTACTTGAGCTCTAACTACTTTATGGTTACTAGATGCGTCAATTCGTCATGATATTTTTTGAGCTCTCGTCCAGATTTGAACAAGTCTATTCGTATGCCTCCGTTTCAGACTATAATAATGGATGCAAGAGTTACTTTGCAAAATGGTTTCGAGTCCAGGTACTTTACCTCGAGGCGTGTGGTCACCGGAGGCTAACACACTGCGTGAAATTTCAATTGAGGAGAATACTATAGCAAATTTATTGTCACCTAATCACGCTTTTCGGCGCGACGTGCTTGCGTATTGTGAATTACGTAACTTGATACCTCACCCGCAATTACTCCCACTACATCCGAACGAGGAGGAATCAAAGGGTGCAATACTAGGTGAGACGTCAGCAAGTAGCAACGTTTACGACCTCAGTGAGGTGGAGCAAGTTTCCATTAGATATTGGCAACTTGATGACGGAAATTGCCGCGCAATGTGCTATGCACTTTCACTTTCAACGAGAGTGCGTTCGGTCTGGTACGTCTGAAAGTAGTTTGTTGTCATGTAGAAGTAGATGAAGCTATTAAACAGCGTTTAGCCTGTTTGACGTAGGATTGGACATGGTACAATTAGACTTATTGTGCTCGACAATCCCAAAGACACATGTGACTGCTCTTCAGTTGGACTGGAATTCCATACCTTCTACAAAAGTAAGCCAAAAATCTCCAAACATAGATACAACAAGTTTGACATCCATAGACGGAAGCGTTGGGTCTTCTGATGTCACTTTGAGTCAACAGTGTGACAAAGTTGAGGATCGAAATGATATACTCGGTATGGAGGAAAATGTCGGTCAAGAAGATCTGTCAGAGGTGTACGCTCAATTGCTCAGTGGCGATTCTATGTTGACGTATTTGTCGCTGCGAGCGAACGGGATAACCTCAAAAGGAGCAGCTGCACTTGCCAATGCAGTGCGTATTAATAAGAAGCTTGAATCGTTAAATTTATTCAAAAACTCTATTGACGATGCTGGAGCACGCGCTTTTGCATATGCTTTGCCATTCAATACAACACTGAAGACGCTGTCACTTGCCAACAACGAAATCTCCGGCCGTGGGTGGGTTTGGAAACTAGCCTTTCATTACGATTATGCGTTCATAACGAGACATTACTATTCAGGGCAAAATATCTGGTAGATGGGCTGACAAAATATCCGGCGCCACCAGAGCTGCTAGCAAATATTGAGGCGGCTGAAAGTCAGATTCATATCCAGGTACATCAAATTTATATGAAATCTGCAAACGAAGTTCTAACGTTGACACTAGCTTGATCAAGCAAAGAAGTCTAAAATAAAAACTGACCGCGCTACAGTCCTAACGTCACTTGGGCTGCCCGTCTTGGAAACCATTGATGGTGTACAATATGCTCCTGGTAATGCAACCTTGGAAGAACTTCTTCTGAGTGGTAATGTCGAAATTGGAAGGGATGATGTTGACCTGATCAGTGAAGCTTTGGAGCCGTTCCAGCCAAAGTTGCAGACCCACCTGCGATGCATTAAGCTACAGCGATTGCCGAAGGTGCACCAACATAAGGTACAAGAGGCACATCACTATGTCTCTGAGTTTGTTAAACTGTGATGGATACAATAAATGACATTCCTACCTATAACGTAGACAATCACTATTCTACTAGCTTTAACTTGGTGAACTGAAGGTGATTTAGATTCTAGTCGTCTCCACCATTCGCATAACCAAGTATCGCTCAGTTAGACCTCGCTAATTGATACCATAGAATGCAAACATATGACTTTCGCCGACAGCTATGCCACATCCATTCAGTCAGCGAGTGCACTACAACAGCTACACAACGTCAGAGACAACATATACACTTGTTACATGGGGCGAAAAACAGCGCTTTTCAACTTTGGAGTGGTTGCCACATCTCATATTTCGGCCAATCAGATGCAACAACACCTTGAAGATCACCTGTAAAAATAGAACCTGCTGCATGGAGATCGATAACTTAATTATTGACTTGTTTGATGGATTGACTGAGTAGGTCAAGATGGTTGACATCTTCAACATTACCAGTCGGATAGCTTGGAAAGTAGTTTAGAGCGGCTAAACGCTTTTCATACGCCCAACACTTCGCACGACCCGCAGGGTTGGACATCGCGAACAACACTTGCTGCAAGGGGTCTTGCAGTTGACTTTCAGTGGTTGCTGCATTCATCTGTTCATCGCAATAGAGTTGTTGTCGGTGCTGATCAACTACCTCGGCTACACTTCGTAGCAGAATTGATAATATCATACCCAGAATATTAAGCGTCATGCCCTCATCGATATTAGCGCACTAGCGTCGTTGATGATGCATCCTCGGCTCACCCAGCACCATCACTTTATTAGGTAATCGTCATTGCCGCGCGCCGCGACACACTTTGCATTGAATGAGAAGGCATGAACTTATCTCAATTTCGATACCTGGCCAGATGCCATGACACTCAAGGGTATACAGCACACGCTACTACAAAATATACTCGAAGACTTTGATAATATTCTTGAGTAATTCATGACAAGTCAAGCATTTGCAAGCTCTTTCCATGATTGATTCTCTCGTAGACTCACATTGACAACAATCCGTAATTCACTTAATTCCTTCAAATCCTCTCCACTGCAGCTACAGCAATTTGACATCTTGGAAAATCCAAATGCTAACTATAAGGGCGAGACATGATATGATTCCTGTCTACGCCGACTTTGTTTAGTCTTCGACACAGCGCCTTAAGCATATTCTGACAAAAAATATTTTTCTTACAGGAAAAGGAAATCAAACTGACTTGATCCTAAGGACCAAATGAAATCCTCAATATTGATGCGATAAGGTTTAGATTTATGATTGATGATACAGACTTCTTCAAGACAGTGGTGAGCTAACGGTCTGGTTCAGGTTTCTTTGCCTGATCACAAAGGAATCATATATAGTTTTTCGATCGAAGCAGATAAAATTATGATGGGATATATCTCACAATGCGTTCTAAAAGTGCTTAGCTGGGAGTAGCCATTCTTAACATTATGCAATTTGTAGCAATGGATTTCTATAATTGGCGCTATTATATAGACAATGTGTAGGATTTTATCGTCATCAGAGAAACAGATTTCATATCAAGCAAGAAATTAAGACAACGTGCCACTTTTACTGCGACCACGTTGAGGATTGTCAATATCACTTCTAACTCCGTCCATTTGCTATGCAAATGAGGCGACCACTCCTGCAGTCTCCGCAACGAACATTTAAGTGCGAGCTGTCGTGGGATAATACTATTTACTTCACGAGACTCAAGCCAACACCGCAATCATGGTTATAGTATCTTAATCGCTCTCAATTCCGTGCATGCTTTTAGGCTCGAGGCCACTTTGGTGGAGTGTCACTAGACCATTCATGTAAAGTAGTGTACAGTCTTTGGAGGAATGTACTGCGTCATTCAACGCGATCTTCATTAGCTGGAGAGATTTGCTCCGGCATCGCGGCCTCTCCGCGAAAGTCCTCCAGACTGTATCCCCTACCATGCGATTCACGCGTTCCGTCTACCATTTATTTGCGGGTGGTAAATTTTAAACATATATAATATGTAGCCGAGCACCAGAAATAATGTTAATTAAAACTTCGCTAAACTTTATTCGATACCATGACTACTGGCAAGCCATGTTTGCAAAAAAATTTCTCGAGGAGCATATGGCTGCATCTTACCCTGTCTTAGTATTGCTGACAGCAGAAAATTAAACCATCTAGTTCGGACAATCCACGTAGACAATCATAATGGTATTAATGAGCATCGTTTGAAACACTAAAAATAAAGTCCATATTGATGGACTTTCGGCACTCTGCTGAAGCCGGTAGGCTTGCCAGAGGTTCCGAATTTTCTAATTGCTTGACATATTTTGCACGTTGGCTTCATACGTACACAAATATGTACTCACCTGTTCTACATATTGGACCGCTAATACATGATGTACATCCTTATCATTGGTATAAGGCATAGCAATGCAAATGTGCAACTGTGCACTTCGGTAAAGCAGCATCTCAGATTGATAACTCCTCGCATCCAGATTATTAGTAGCGAAAGTTGGTCGCGTCTAACCTGTACGTCATGCGTATCACCAAGTCAATTAGCGAGCCAGCAATGGAAGTGCGATAGCTCATATTGGGGACGACGAAAATCGATTCCGCTTCTGCATGAAGCTGACTCAGCTAAAGAGCACCCTCAGCAAAGAAGGCTTGTGCTCTTTCCTTTGACGAGGTATGATGTGACGACGTGGCTGTGCACAACGACGCATCATCTGTATACATGACAAGCAATTTAGAGCCGCGCAGGTGCATCCTAAACTTGATTTCGGTATAATACATTGTAAGTAGCTCTATGTAATAAACATCTTAGCAGCTTTCAGCAGGCGAGACTCAAGCGACAGCGCATTCATGTGCATCGGCATCTGCTTGGTGCAATTCACAGTCCATTACAAATACTGAAGCGTTACAATGTGGGATTTTGTTATTCTTTTGAAAGATCAACCACGCACTTTTTCACAGCCGTGGAGACCGCCTCTTCTGCTTTACCTTACTCCAATAAATATCCCGTTGTCAGTGCCTCTGTCCCGGAATGACTAAAAATGCAAATTTTTGAGGCGATAAAACCAAGCTCAAAGAGTACCATGATTTCTGCTCCCCGAGTCCGGATTGGCAAATCCATGTTGTCTGTGTGCTTCAGATTTGCCATAAGTAATCGTATCATGTCGATTTAGTTTGCGATACATGTGCAAGCAGCTGGCAAAGCCGATATTTCAAGTTCCTCTAGAGCGATTTACTTGCTAACATCCGGGGACCTATATCTTCGCGTGTTTTGTCCCGCAGGACTTGCTTTCCAATGAAGCATCCTAGAAAGAGAACTATGTCGACCGTAAATACCACGATTGAATTTATTGAGAAATACCTAAATGGGTCATTTTAGCACAGGTACCGCTAGTAATCTATCCACATCAGACTTTCCGTGATCTAAATGAATATGGTCTAACCAGTAGCGAAGGAAGTTGATGCATAACCATGATATGATCTGAACAGCTGTGCCACCAGTCGAAGAAAAATTTGACGGTACATAGTCCCTATCCTATAGCTTTCCACCCCGCGTAAAGTATTCAACAATGGAGGCTGTAAATGTTTATCATCAGCACGTGTTGAAAACTATCCATTAAGTATAGTGCACTGAACAAAGCGCAGCCGATCACGTTACATCTGTGCTATAAATCGGTATTTGCGCCGATATCGTGGCTGCATCTAGTTTAGTATAAACGCGCACAAATCGCAGCTTTCCAGTAGCCTTTGAAACACATAAAGGCGGCACCGAGTGTGGAGAACTTTTCTTTCTCTCGCCGAATTTACCTCGTGTTTCGCACAAAAGAAGTGCGAATGACGTGTCGTCTGGTAAGACTATTGCCGCGTCACGCAATGTTTGGTCTCGATAACCAAGACAGTTACATGATGTACTCCGTTACCAGGGGTTTACACTTGTTGTAAAATTATCGTCACCATTTCGTGATTTGCTTCAATCAGGGTTCATAGAATCAAAATTTCTTATGAAAAGTTGTCCCACTCTTCTCACCGAATAGCCCGCAAGCTTTCTCAATGTGAGATTAAATCATCGCGGATGACGATCTCAGCTCCCTTCTCTAATGCCAATCAGACAATTGCCGTCTTCAGATTCCTTGTACATATCTCTGAGGGGTAATTCCTGCAAATTCAGCTGAAGGTAATGAAGAGGACTATACAATTCTGAGGGTCATCGTGGTCACTTCATTCATGATTAGATATCTTTCTCACCACTTACTTGTGAAGTTGCGAAGCTCCACACAGAGAGCCCGTCACACGGTAGCAGTAATGATACTTCATGACAAGGATTAGCCTCCCCTCTAATCTTCGATGCGAATCCTCTTGATTCGAAGCTTACAGTCGCCCTTCAGCCCCACCGACTCTTACACGGGATATTGCGATACCCAATCGATATCATTCTCCACCGAAATGGTATTAAGACAATAGATCACAACTGTTTCCTACCATCTCGTCGAAAGTATACCTTGGGGGCCACATCATACGGTCGATCTTTTCTGTCCAAAAGAGACACACTCCGAAGAACCGCGATGTACAATCGCTTTTCTGCATTTTACCCTGAGGCCCAGACTCACACCCACTTTTACCTTACGAGCTCCGCCCAAGGCACTCTGCAATACTAATACTATCATTCCGGACGGTTCTTAGTCCTGTTCGGAAGCTTTTACAACTCAGGCCCGCACCAAAATTGCTTCTGTTTTCTGTGTGACCATAATTTATTACTTGCTAATGCCTCACGAGGAGAAAATGCACGGCATGTTTTTTTACTTGCAGTCGGCTAGTGGCTCGTGGTGTAACAACCCCGAATTTTAATTGTAACTAAATTTTAATGGTATAAAAGTCATCAAGCTTCACTGAGGATTTGACGACAGTTTAACCGTTGTCCACGTTGCAAGACATTCAGATATCTTTTCCGTATCAGGCATATTCAGTACCCACCCGCATTGACTAGTATTTAGTCGTGCTTCGTACGTAATTGCGCAACACTTTTGAATCTATTAGAATTTCACACCATTTGAAGCCCGGGGATTCGATTTTGCTAAATAACAAACCTGGGCAATGGGCTCCACCCCTTTCAAAGTAGAATCGTTCTTTAGGGCTGAATCTTAGCGACCACGAGTCCCATGACGTAAAAAGAACCCAGGTCATTCCCGATAGACCACCCTGTGCATACTAAGACTTAACGTTTCTCTGGAGGGGTTCAATGTCCGCCCTTACGTGGAAGAAGATCGACAAAAGCTTGTTAAGCAGGTTTTTCTGTCTTCAGGACAGGATTTTGAGCATTTTATGCGACTCCTTCGTGGAATTGACTACAAGTGCTTCTTACTACAGCAGGGTTAATGCGCGCTCACACAGAGAAAGCTTTGATTCTCCGAGTCCGCAGTAACAATACTATCGTCGGTCCGCGTTTCTCCCAGAATCCAAATCAATTATCAAAGATATGTTGTAAATTAATGTACACATCACACCAAATGTGTAATGATCGCTGTGTGGATTTACGCAAGCGGTAATTTTAATTTTTGCAGTGTATTCGTAAAATATTACGCAGTATGATTTTTTAATTAGTAAATTTTATGACAGCACCAGGTATGTCAAAGCCTCCGACACACGTAGTCTTCGAGACGACTGTGGTGCGTGTGTAGATCATATTCGTGTATACTTCAACTTTTTCTATGATAATTATTGTAGGCTTATGCTTTATTTCTCTTTGCTGATTAGGGTGATTTCACGATGGAACTCTACACAGAACATGCACCCCGAACATGCTGGAATATTGCAGAATTGGCTCGTCGTGGGTACTACAATAATACCATTTTTCATCGCATTATCAAGAACTTCATGATTCAAGGCGGAGATCCAACCGGCACAGGTAGAGGAGGAGAGTCTGTGTATGGGTACGACCATCTATATAGTATTACGTGGCAATAGCTATAAAACTAACGCATTCGCGGTGGCAGAGCCAAATTTGACGATGAGATTACCAAGGAGCTTAAGCATACGGGAGCTGGTGTGCTATCTATGGTATGGAATATCAATATATGTAATCAGCAATGATTGATTGACGTGACATGCTTTTGGAAAGGCAAACTCGGGACCGAATACGAATGGCAGTCAATTTTTTATTACATTGGCACCAACTCCATGGCTAGATGGTAGGAAGTTTTTGATCAATAGTGATAGTCGGATGACTATAGTGACGTTATTATCGTGTTAGGTAAGCACACTATATTCGGTCGAATTTCGTCGGGAATGAAAGTCATTCAGCGCATGGGATTAGTACCGACAGGAGTGAATGACAGGTAGAAGCATTTGAAAAAGTCAAGCTGATCATTTGGGCTCGAAACTAATGTTATTTTGTGGCCAGACCTCGTGAGGAAATTCATATTAAACGTGCATACCCAACATCTCAATAGAAAAAAGCTGTAGAAGTAGGACTGGGCTATAATTGCAATTTACCGCGGCTGGTGAGAGTGTACCCATGTTGTAGAATATATTTGTGTTTATGGATACGTTGAGTAGCCCAGATGATGATTACAACGACAGAGATTTATCACAGTCCGGGCTCAAAACATCAATACCTGATCACACAAATGATATACAATACAGTGGCGCTCAAGAAGCAGATACTTTTAAAATTCAAGATGAACACAAGAGCGAAGATTGTCTAGTTGTATCACGAAGAATGGCTTGGACACAAGTCATTGAATCCTTTTCCATTTTACAAGCCAGCATTTTCAACTTCATAGTGCCATTCGCTTCACCCACTTCGTCGAAAGCAATTGTCAAGAGTTCTGTCCAATCTACTGCAGATTCTGCAGCTTTACCCGAGAATAACGAAAAAAAACAAGTGAGGTTTTCGCCTGATCTTGAACAAGACCAGAGCAGTTTAGTTGATAACCATGTGCTGCTGAACGATTCATCAAATAGAAGATTAAAATTGTTATCGAGAATGGAGGAAAGCCGTCAGATTGAGAGAAGCTACGTGGTTCCAAAAGACCTTCCACCGTTTAAATTGTGGGATCGTTTTCAGCTTGGTCTATCGCTGACGTATACGACACTCCGTCTTCGTCGAAACATTTCTGCGCCCTGTTTAGTGTTCGAAGAACAGCGCAAACAAACCAACAAACAGAATGTATCAAGCATAACGGCGACACAACTTGTTAACCTCGCGCATGCAGGTTTGGCTTTTAATACGAGCACACGATCATTTGTGATACAAGGGCAACCTTCTTTGCCCGTCAAATCACTTGAAAAGCCAAGACAACGAAAATCACGCAAATTAGCACGTCTACGGCATAATAGGATAGCAATAAGACTTGGAAATCGAAAAAAGGAACGGTTCTCAAAGCTTTTGAAGTGCAAGATGACTAAGTCTAAGACTGCTATACATACTGCGAGACATCATATAAAACTAAAGGCTAAAGGTGGCGCTGAAAGCCAGGGTACAGCTCACGATCGGGATAGAACCAAAATTGGTTCGTTCGGGGCAATTGCAGTCTTTCGGGCTCTTCGTGTAAATCGCACGCTGCTGTCACTTAAGTTAGAGTACCTTGCCATTGATGACACGGCGCTAAGTGCTCTGGCTGCAGCTTTGCGAGTCAATTGTTCGCTCACACATTTAAGCCTAGCTGGAAATCGAATCGGTCCTATTGGAGCTCGTGATCTCGCTGACGCCTTAGAAGACAGTCCAGACTCCATGTTGCTCGATCTCGATCTTCGTGACAACCATCTAGGAACTCGAGGTGCTGAAGAACTCGGTCGAGCACTACGTGAAAATGAGACACTTACACGCTGTGACTTGTCGTGGAATCAGATGGGACCACATGCTGTACTTGGTTTGTTGTCTGCTTTGCGTGATAATTTTGTTTTTCGAGAGCTGTGTGTATACGGAAATGATCGGGTCGAAAACAATAATGTTCATTTGTGGAATCTTGACTACTCTTCCGCAAAAGATATTATCGTGGGGTTACGCCACCTGAATGCAAGCTTTGCGGTTATTCGACTAAGTAGCGTTCGAGCTCTTATTCCGATTGACAAGATCAAGACATCACGTTGGCTAGATGTTGCTGATCGAGGTTATGTAGAGCTGGATGGACTCGTTGTTGCTGGGCTACTTTCTCATAATAGCATGTTGTTGTCTCTTGATATGCATGATAATCCAAATCTTGGGGGGCCTGCAGTGATTAAAATACTTACTGCTATCAGAAATTGTTCTACTTTACGAGATGTTGACTTATCCAACACTGGATTATATCCTAGCGATGGTGAGGTTGTCGGAGAGCTCGTGAGCGCTAATTGCACGCTTTTAACTATCAAGATGCACGTAACAGTCATTTTTGTCCAGCAAGCGCGTGGAAATCAAAATGCCACTGAAGTGCCCGATGCTATCGAATGTTTCGTTGATCCCACCCATTTTCTAGATCGTTGGATTTATTCAAAATGCTTTGCTGTAAATCGCTTGACCCAAGAATTGAACAATCTGCGTCTTTCTGATGTCCCGCATCTCATGACGTTGAATACAAGTACAAATTACAGATTAAATCTTGTGTCCGTCAACATATGTGGCCGTCTGCTCGAGTTGTATGAAGTAGCGTTTCTCGGGAGTAAAATCTTAAATCATCGTCATCTCGGTCGTGTGGTGTTAAATAGCTGCATGCTCGACAGCGCTGCAGCTTGTGCGCTGGCCAATGGAGTGCGTGACCATCCCACGTTGCATACAGTCGAGCTTGAGAATAATCCCTTCGGACCTGTTGGAGGCCACGCACTGGCTGAGTGCCTAGCGTCAAGCAATGCTCTTACGTATCTTAACTTAAGCTGGACACAACTTGGTGACGGTGGTGTGCTATACTTTCGAGAAGCACTAAAGCAAAATCAATCAATCGAGCGACTTGATTTACGTGGTAATGACTTGCGTGTGCAAGGTATCATAGCAATAGCAGATGGCGTTCGCCACAGTGCTACACTGCGTGAGCTTCACTTGCGCTGGAACACTGTGTCTCCTGTAGGCGCCGAAGCGCTAGCAAAAGCGCTTGAAGTGAATCAGAGTTTACGGTTGCTAGATGTCGAACATCACACCATGGGATCGCGTGGTGCTGCAGCGTTTGCATCAATGCTGGCGAAAAACAAACATCTCGAGCACCTTAATATTGGCGGCATTGACTCGAACGACACTTTGGACGTAGGGTCTGGCATTGGCTCTCAACAAGCTAAACGCATTGCAGAAATCCTCCAAAATTCAAATAAGTCCCTACGAATACTACACATTGGCTCGAATTGTATAGATCCAGAAGCAACGGCTCAGTTTGGAGAGCTACTCGCAACTAATAAGACGCTGGTGACGCTGGACCTGTCGCACTCAGACCTAACTGCAGCGAAGGCATCGCGATTCTTTGCATGCTTATCCGTGAACAACACACTCGAACAATTAGATCTGGCACATAATCATATCGGTAATGAAGGGATGATGGCTTGTACACGAGCATTAGAAACCAATCGGACCTTGCGCGAGCTTAATCTGGCGTACAATGGTATCACTGAGGAGCCACTGGCCGTGCTGGTAGCTAAGCTCCACGCCATACCCCCAAAAATTGCTCCATCACTGGAGTGGCTCTGTCTTATCGGAAACGTCATGACGGAGCGCACACATCAGCAATATACTTTACTGCCACAACATGTCATCACAATAGAGCTCCATGACGAAGAGAGACGTTAGATGGTGTACACAACATCGTTTCTATTTTTAACCAATCATATGCATCCACCACGCCAATCCGTTTCAGATTGGACCCTTGGCGTCTTGTGAGTACATTCCGTTCAAAGTCGAACGTTCAAAGTCTTGTGTAGTCATGGCGATGCCTACGATGGCTGCGATTGCCAAGCGCATGACAGGTGCCCCAAATGATTCCAAATTCTTTAGCACAACAAAGAAAGGAGAGACTCATGAGTTACGCCAAGAATTAGCCAATCCTAGTCGGGAAAAGAAAAAAGATGCTGTGAAAAAGGTGATTGCTAACATGACGGTGGGCAAGGACGTCTCGATGCTCTTTACGGACGTTGTCAATTGTATACAAACGGCTGATACGCAATTGAAAAAGCTTGTGTATCTTTATCTGATTAATTATGCAAAGAGTAACCCAGATTTGACTATCTTAGCTGTCAATACGTTTGTTAAAGACGCTGCTGACCCCAATCCACTCATTCGGGCGCTCTCAGTGCGTACTATGGGATGCATTCGTGTTGATCGTATTACTGAGTACTTGTGTGAGCCACTTCGTCGTTGTCTTCAAGACGAAGATCCATATGTTCGAAAGACTGCAGCCATTTGTGTTTCAAAGCTTTATGACATTAATCCTGAGATGGTAGAAGAGCAAGGATTTCTTGATATGCTACGAGAATTGATTTCAGACTCTAATCCAACGGTTGTAGCAAATGCTATTGCTGCATTGTCCGAGATTTCTGAAAATAGTGGAGGTGCCATGGCTTTTAAAATTACAAAGTCGGTGCTTCAGAAATTACTTGCAGCGCTGAACGAATGTAATGAATGGGGACAAGTCTTTGTGCTTGATGCATTAGCTGGCTACACGCCTGTTGATTCGAGAGAAGCTGAGGGAATTATTGAGCGCGTCACGCCACGTCTTCAGCACGCCAACTCGGCTGTTGTGCTTTCTGCAGTAAAAGTCATAATGAAATTCTTAGAAAAAGTATCGGACGCTGACACTGAGCGTAGTCTGTCGCGTAAGATGGCGCCACCACTTGTGACGCTCTTGTCGGCTGAACCTGAGATCCAGTATGTGGCATTACGCAATATTAATCTTATTGTTCAAAAGCGCGCAGGAATTCTAGCAAACGAAATCAAGGTCTTTTTTTGCAAGTACAATGACCCTATTTACGTCAAAATGGAAAAGCTCGAGATCATTATTCGTTTAGTCTCAGAGCGCAACATTGAACAAGTGTTGCTGGAATTTAAAGAATACGCTACAGAAGTAGACGTGGAGTTTGTGCGTCGTTCCGTCCGCGCTATTGGACGTTGCGCTGTCAAGCTTGAACGCGCAGCCGAAAAATGCATTAATGTATTGTTGGAACTTATTCAGACCAAAGTCAATTATATTGTGCAAGAAGCAATTATTGTGATCAAGGATATCTTCCGTAAATATCCAAATCAGTATGAGAGTATCATTGCTACATTGTGTGAGAATTTGGACACATTGGATGAACCAGAGGCAAAGGCATCGATGATCTGGATCATTGGCGAGTACGCAGAACGTATTGACAACGCTGACGAGCTACTCGAGTCATTTATGGAATCATTTGATGACGAAACGGCTCAAGTTCAGCTGCAGCTTTTAACTGCGACAGTCAAGCTCTTTCTCAAGCGTCCAAATGAGACACAAGAGATGGTCCAGAAAGTATTGCACAAGGCCACCGAAGAGTCGGACAATCCGGATTTGCGGGACCGTGGTTACGTCTACTGGCGTCTTCTGTCAGCGAATCCGGAAGCGGCACACGCCGTTGTGCTTGCGGAGAAGCCAGTAATTAATGACGACACGTTTGCGCTCGAGTCGTCGGTTCTTGATGAGCTAATTGGAAAGATTTCGACCCTTGCTAGCGTTTATCACAAGCAGCCCAGCGCCTTTGTGGTACGCTCAACTGTGTCTGAACTTCGTGAGCATCGCCAAGACGATGACCATAGCAACGAAGAGGAAGACGAAATCTCATCTGACCATCAAGAAGACGGTGGGAGTAGCCAGTCTCAAGGTACCGTGGACTTGCTTGACATGGGAGGTCTTTCAATGGGCAGCTCAGTAAATACCCCTCCAGCACCCGCAGCGACTAGTGCAAGCCTGGTCGATATTTTTGGAGATCCGGGTGCTCCTCCTGCGCCGATGGCAGTTGGCAGCAGTAACCATTTCACGCAGAAGAAGATGTTGATGAATGCGCAGCAAGGAAAGGGGCTGCAGATGACTGGCGCTTTCACTCGACGCAGTGGCAATTTTGTGCTCGACGTGGATTTTGAAAACCAATCGGCTGTTCCAATTGTGGGAGTGAGTATTCAGTTTAACAAGAGTACATTTGGTGTCGTGCCATTGCAAGCAACTGTGATGTTTTCGCAGCCACTTGGACCGGGTCAAAGCATTAATCACGTTGTCCCCATGGGTGTGAGTCCACAGTTTGTAAATGCCGCGGTCGCACCAAATCTTAACTTGCAAGTGGCAATCAAGAATAACTCGAGCAATGACGTGGTGTATTTTCAGTCGGAATTGGACCTCACAGCAATCTTTACTGAAGCTGGCAGCATGACATCGACCGAATTTATCAGCCTGTGGCAGAAGATTCCCGAGACGAATGAGCACTACTTTACAGTGGCTACAGGTGCACGTGGTGTCGATGCCGTATCCGAGCGGCTAGGACGCAGCAACGTCCTCTACATTGCGAAACGCCCTATTGACGGCAAGGAAGTTGCATACTTTTCCGTCAAAACCATGACTAATGTCGTGGCCCTGTTTGAGCTTACGTTTGACAGCTCTGGTACGACAAAAGTATGTCTTAAACTTGAGCAAACGGCGTTTAGTTTGCTCTTCCAGCAGACAATCGAGCGCTTGCTTGTGTAGGAGGATGAACGGTAGCTTATAAGATGCCAGTTTTTAGACTGGTTTAAGCGTTAAAGAGAATGCATTTGATTTTATTGCTGGCTTGAGTGCTGAGTAGACGCATCCGTTTTGATCATTATCCGATCCGACGGGTCATGGCGACCGAAATTCGAGCTGTGCCCGAAGCTGTGACCTGGCAGGATCGAGAGATTCGCTTTGATATTTCAGGCGCTGCCTTGCACTTGCGTAAAGGCGAAACACTCGTAGATGCTATCAATTCGGTTGAAGACACGAAAGGTAACAATGGAGAGCGTGGATCGCTCGAGATAACGAATTTAAGACTGTTATGGGCCTCGCACAAGTCTGTGCGAACGAATTTAAGCATTGGCTACAATTGCATTCAGAGTCTTAAGATCCGTACGGCGACATCTAAGCTAAGAGGTAGTACTCAAGCGCTATACGTGA